ATTTTTTCTTGATTGCAAAATGTGTGGCAAATGAATTTCTTGTCCTTATCGAAAAATTATTATAACTTCAGTATCCACTATTCTATGTCTACCTAGAATTATGACACTAATACTAATGAAATGCAATCAAATTAGCGCTTTCAAAACCAAACTCTATTTAACAATATCATAAAACAAGGAATGAGAGCTCTGCATGATGTAGATAATCAACATATTTTTGTGCATAGTTCATTTTGCTCACACATAATTTTTTTGTAATCTTGGTATCAATGATGAGTTTATTTTCAACCACTGGGTCGATGCTTTGTTTTGTAGACAGTCGTTTTTCGGTTTTGCAAAGGTTTTGTCGATCTCTTTTACAGCCTATGGACCATACTATCTGAAATTCATTAACATGTGTCACAGTTTTTGTTTTCTTTGCTCTTTCGTTTTGAATTGTATTGACATTCTCGCTTATAAATACATGCTGCTTAGTCTAATCAAATGGGGCAACAACCGTTACGTTTATGGACGGCCGAATTCAATATATCGTATTCATTAATAATAGTAAACATGGTTTGTCACTGATTGAGTTTAGATTAAGTTTTCATTTTCGTCTTGATAAATTATCAAAACAATGTAAACATACAGGTAGTATAACGCTTGTAGGTGTTGAAATGCTCCTTGTTGTATTGTAGTTATTTGGTTATTGTATAAATATCTGAAAAAAATATAATGTTTATGATTAATATATTATATATTATATGCAAATTGTTTATTATCATTGATATGTGAAGATGTATCTAGTTTTGTTAAATATTGTATAATGATAACGGTGTGATCATGACGCCAGTCGATTAACAACTTAAATATAGGCAACAATAGTTTACAGATGTTCAAACAGGCTACATTGACAGATTGTTTTCTAATAAACTACTTGATTATTTCGTCCAACAACTCATCATAGATACCAGGATATAAATTTTGAATTCCAGACACGCGTTTCGTCAACAAAAAGATTTGTCGAATCGCAAACAAAATTATAAAGGCCAAATGAAACACAATATATTTGTGTGAAAAAAACGACTTGCGTGAAATTTTCTACGACAACATGTTCTTTCGTATCGTAATCTATTGGATGAAACAGTATGCTTGAAAGAAAAATGTGTCGCAAATGATTGTTATATCCTTACGAACGGATGATTATTACGTCCGTGTCCACCAAACATTTTCTATGTTGCATTGTAACACCCATCTTATTAAACATAGTGGAATGCACATGGATTTGTATCTACTGCCTTTTTTTTTAGTAGATATTAAAATAAGTCAAATGTATCGTATTTTAGTGGATTGATTGTATCCTTTCATCCTTTGCCAAACACATGTCTTCAGTCCCTATGAGTCTATGTATTTGTTTATTTTAATAGTCACTCATAGCAGCAGATTTGTTTTCTGGAATACTATTAAGTTATAAGAGGTTATGGTTTGACAGATATTTAAGTATAAGCTTGGTTATATGTTGTTGTCTGTTACGACGCCAATTAAAACGGAATTAGAAACCGAAATACTCAAGACGTTTATTGTTCTTTTATTTGTCTTTGTAAATTATTAACCTTTACTGTTTAAGCCTTTTTTGGTAATATCCTTTCGGAGTGGCTCGGTACTTATACATCCCGCCATAGTGTTATTGTGCAATGGTTTTTTTTGGTATTTTTGTCTTTCATTTTTGCTTATGTGATTTGTCTTTATGCCATTTTGTTTTTCTTTGTTGTCATATTTGTTTGTTTTATGGTGAGTAGAATTATAACACAATGTTGACTATTGTACCCCTATTTTTGACATTTTAACCTATAATGTCTGTTTGTTTTTTCACATATTGTTGTCAATGTAATGGAATTTTATGTGACTGTCATACAAGTGAGAGGTTAAGCTAGCTATAAAACCAGGTTTAATCCAACATTTTTCTACATAGGAAATGCCTATACCAAGTCAGGAACACCACAGTTGTTTTCCATTCGTTTGATATATTTGAGCTTTTAATTTTGCCAATTGATAATGGACTTTCCGTTTTGAATTTTTCTTGGAGTTCGGTAGTTTTGTTATTTTACTTTTAACTGATTTATGGTTTATTTCTAGATTTCGGTATTTTTGTTAACATACTTTTTACCTTATCCTTTTACCACCTCAACTATGATAACCAAACCCTTTAGATTATACACACAAAAAACAATTAAAAATTCTGATCACATATGGTTATTTTTCACCAGTCAAAGCAGACTCGCAAAAAGTCTGCCTCATTTGTTTTAAGTAATCCCTATAAAAGCGAATCAAAGAATTCTAGGAAGTACTTAAAGTAATCCTAACGTAGATAGTTTACTAATACAAAAAAAAATGCCGTCCCTTATGTTTGCATCGGCAATTATATTTTCGAGTGAAATTTATACAGCAACGTCAAAACATTGATGGTAGAGTGCATTACACAGAAAAATGGTATAAATCTTGAAATGCACAAATGTATAAAGCAATCATTTATATCATATTTGTAACTGTGAACCTGAGTGGTCATTATCAACCAAATGTTAAAGTAAATGATAACAATAAATAAAAGTAATGTATGTGTTACTTGATCATGTGGATTTCAAACCAAACAAATGTTTTACTTATGGATAACATAACAAGATCGATTTGAAATTCGGAATTATTATAATGATCCTATATATATTTTTTATAAAAATTCTTCTAAAATCTGATACCTTGCGGATATCTATATTCCGATTGTAAAATTTTATTAATAGCATAGTGATTATATAATAACATTATTTTTGATTTGATATGCAATTATAACTCTTGATAGAACTACCGTAGCCAATATTAAGGAAAACCATTACACAAACTGTATGTTAACACTGAAATCTCTTTGAAGTAGAATTCTGTTAATGCAATTTGTTAAGATGTGGTATTCGATAAAATGTTTATGATCTGATTTTAATTTGAAAGCGTGTAGGTATGCATATTCAATAAACAAGCTCTGAACAACGACAGGTTTAAGTATCTGTCATGAATAATAAACCCCACACTAACCAACAAATTAGTCAATACAAACTTTAAATCTATTAATATCATAATTAAAGACGACGCAGAAGAAATATGAAAATATCAATATTTTATACCGCGTCATGAAGTGATTTGTAAAAACGACGGCAATTGCTCATTTTAAAGAGAAACACATAAGCTACATTATATGTGAAGGGGTCTAAGAATATACAGAACGCGTAAGGGGATGCAAGGTGTCCCTCTCCGGACAGGAAATGGGGTCATGTAGTCTCGAATAAGACTTTTTGATGTATACATAACGTATTTACATTACCTACTTCAAATATAACATGTATAAGGAATTCTCTAAAATATGAAATCATTGCTAATATTTGTACTTACAGATATTTTAAGTTAGTAAGATTTTCGAAAGTGTCGTTTCTGATAAATGTCAGACTGTTATCGCTCAAACTTCTGGAAAAATATGTACACTTAAATATCATAACCGAAGTATGTATATACGTTTATCATTAAACATGAAACTTTACTACATATAAACAATAACAATTAACAAAATAAATGTCAGATGCTATGTTTAGTGGCCAAAAAGGAAAGTTCACTGTAGAAAAAAAATTGTTATTGAAAAGAAAATTAATTATTCATAATTAATTGACTGTGAGTTAAAAAAAATAATGTATGCACATCATAATTGTCTTGACTATCGGCGAGGTTTCTATAAACAGTTCATATACATTGTAGTTAAATCGACTGTAAACAGTTGTAAATAATGATTTATAAATAATCCGAATTTCATATGTGCCAACTGAACATATATCCCATCTTTTCCCTGAAATTAATACGAACTCTGGTAGTTTTGGCAGAATATTGTGTCAATGGGAAAAAAGGGAAATTAAGCATCTATGTATTTCAAAATCCAACCTTTACCAACTGAGGTTTAGTGCATGACCACAACAGCTAGTTAATTGTCACTATTAGTACCAGTCACTCAATTAAAAATAATGACTCATGACCAAGTCATATTCATTGATATTTTAGGTATGTTGTTGAGAATTATCAACGAAAAACCTGACCAGTTGCTATCCCTATCAATTCATTCACTCCATTTCTTATAACATAAATATGGAAATCGTTTTTTAGGATACATTAGCTGACGGGGAAGTATCATTTTTTATTCAAGTCTTAAAAACGTTGAAGTAAACTGGTATGATCAGTTGGTATGGTAATATTTCATATTATCAGAACATGAAAAAATACTAAAAAAACAGACGTTACTTTACATTTAACTGTATTTCTCAATATCAATGAGATATAGAGATAAAATAACTTATTATCTTTCTAATGCAATTCAGTGAACTCCTGCAACTTGTTTAATTTTGTTCGGTTAATTTTGTTATCATCTGAAAACAGAATTTTACTGTACAACAGATTTTAAAAAATCCAATATAGATGTAAAAAAACAGTCGTCTACTTATTAAAAACATAGTGGACTGCAAATGGATTTGTATCTACTGCTTTTTTTAATAGATATTAAAATAAGTCAAATGTATGGTATTTTACTGGATGGATTGTACAATTGCTAATCATAATTATCTTCATCACAATATTTTCTAGAAATATCCTTAAAATGTTTTCGAATTTTAACACATGTTCGTTATCATAATAAAACGTGCAGTGTATATATATATATGGGTCGTCTATTTGCAGAACGCTTTGATTTTGCAAAGGGCGATGAGGATTACATTCGCGATTATAGGCCTATCGATTCTTTTCTTAGAATAATTGTTTGCAATAAAAGTATAATTATACTCTGTCAAACGAACAGGGTCGCCAATGGTTATACTTTTTGACGGCGGAGCTCCAGAAAGTCGTTATCATTGATTACAGTAGACAAATTCTGCAACTGATTGACATTTAAATTTTGTTTTCATTTGCGTCTGGTTAAAAGTTGTAGCAATATATATACATACAGAAGGTTAAGCGCTGGTAGGTCTTGAAATGTTCCTTGCTGTATTGTTGTTATTTGATTTATACGCAAAGATCTGAAACAAAATTCATTAAAGAAATGAGCAAAAGAAACAATATAAGCAATTCTCTAAAGAACAATACATGCGCATTAATTAATTTGTAGCTGTAAACAGGTCATCATACTTATCTTGTCACAATAATTTAGTAATTATAAATTCTTAGAACGTACCGTGTATACAAATTTCTTTTCTATATTTTCCACAACAAAAACCAACTAATAATTACACTGTATGTTAATATAATATTCGGATATTTCACAATAAACGGAATGCCTAACGCTTGAAATTGTATATGTTTTTGACATATTGGTTTTAATTTCTAAAAATACAATAAAATGAGATAAAGGGAGGCTATTCGGAAATACATGTTCTCTTTGATTCGGGCACATTGGACCGCAATTACATAAATTACAATATCGCTGCTTCATATAATTATGTAATTTGTGATCATGATCAAACGAACATAAAATATTTATATGCACAACGCTACTTAATTTCTAAAATATAATACAACCCCAGACCGTATACGCTATCGTTCTTGCGATGAGAAGACACATTTTTTATTTTGTCTGGCAAAATAACCATGTCATTTTATTAAAGATACATTTATGTGCCGTGATAAGGATTCAAACACAAGGGAATAACTGAGGTTTACACAAGTCTCTACCAAGTTTCGACCTTTTTTTGGTCAGGAAACGAATATATCCATCAAACAAGAGGTGATATACTAAAATATTTCTCCTACATACACCAATTTATGTTTGCCAATATATCAGTTAAAGGCGCCATGGGCCATTTAATAAACATTGTCAAGGTAAACAAAATGTTGTCATAAAACATGTCCGTGTAGTAATGAAATTCTTTTACAAAATTTTGTTAATCAATTACAAAAGAAAAAGTCTTGCCAACAATTTTTATCTGAAACTGCTACATTATGATTGCAACGTAATATACATGTATAGTGGCAATTGTTATTCCTTACATATTGGTAGTTGAAAACTGCGGTTAATAGTGTTCATTAAAAGGTGTAGAATGGAAATATTCTTTCTTATACGCGTTTAGTTTTTTGCTGTTATTATCTGAAAAAAAACAAACTAAGGAACTATATTCGTGTCACAAATTTGTGTTCTTTTCCAATGTTCATGTTGGCTGATCCATTACAGTAAATAATTACCTTTTTAAAAAAAATAATAACAGTATCCCTCTTATTTCAGGAAAACAAAAAAAAACATGTTATCTTTATCGCAAAACTGTATAGAAGTATATTTCAAGTTCATACGTTCTGTTAATATATGTTTGTTACCATTATGAAATCTGCAGTGTGAACATTTGGTTAATCGATGTCAATTTGCAGAACTCATTAATCATTTGGAAGGCGCCTACTTTAAAATTTGCAACTATCAAATCGTTTCTAAGATTTATTATTTTCAATAAAAGTATAAGTAAATCCAGTCCATTCAAACCGAACAGGTTCACTAATGGTCACACTATTCGACGACAGAAAATTGATAATAGCATACATATTCTGCCACTGATAGACTTTAAATTTCGTTTTATTTGCTTTTAGACAAGATATTGTAATTATGTTTACATACAGTCGGCCTAACGCTGGTAGGTCTTGAAATGCTCCTAGCTCTATTGTAGTTATTTGATTGCTGTATAAAAATCTGAAACAAAACAATGATAATGTTTAAAATATTTATCAGGTTATGCCTACCCTTGCGGAGCATCTGATATTACCCCAGTTGTGGTCGGGTTCGTGTTGATCAGTCTATGTTTTTTTATGTAATGTTTTGTGTACTATATTTGTCTGTTTATGTTTTTCTGATTTAACCATGTCGTTGTCAATTTATTTTCGTCTTATGAGTTTGAAAGTACCTTTGATATCCTTCGCCTCTCTTTTATTTGTTTTGTTCACACGTTGTTGTCAATATAATGGAATTTTATGCGACTGTCATACAAGCGAGAGGTTTAGCTAGCAATAATACCAGGTTTAATTCATCATTTTCTACATCAGAAAATGCCTGTACCAAGGCAGGAATATGACAGTTGTTATCCATTCGTTTGATGTGTTTGAGCTTTTGAATTTTCTTATTTGAATTTTCTGTATTTTTTTTATTTTACTTTTTGCATTAAACAAATTGTTTTATCACCATAGATAGATGTCGATTAAGCAAATTTTGATTAATATCATATAGAGATTTAGACGCAAGTCGATTAACATCTTTCCATATAGGCAACAGTAGTTTACAGGTGTTCAAACAAGTGACATTGACAGATTGTGTTCTAATAATTTACTTGATCATTATAATTTTTCTAAAGAAAGTTTGTAAAAAGTTTGTAGAAATTTGATAAAACATAAAAAATTTACCATAGTTAAGGGACGATTCCATGAGAAGAATTAACAAGTATAAGTCAATCAAACATTGTCACCAATGGTCAACGGATGAACTTTAAAATATCGTAATCATTGATAATAGTAAACATACTCTGCCACTGATTAACCATATATTTTGTTATCGTTGGCATTTTGATGAAATATAAGTATATATACTTCATATTAGACTCGGCAATCCCTGAGTTTCTATTACAGCTATTATATGTCGTTTGAGTTATAAAAATCTTTAAGAAATAAATTAAAACTAAAACCACATACATGTGTAGTATATGACATCAGCAGACATTTAGTTGTCAATAGCTAATTCACTCACTTATGAATACATGGACCTTGACACTGTGCTTTCCATAAACATCTAAAGTATGCTGTTTAGAATTATGAATAGAACATATATCCGGTTTCTGTCACTATCAATTCATTCACTCAATCACCTTTAAGGATGTTCAGTCCTCTTTTTTTGAATTTTTGTCAGATATTCGGAAGCCTGGAAACATCGTATCAATTGGTATAATCCTCGACTGAATCCATCAGTATTTTAAAGTTGTGTTTCCAATTGATGGATTTAGGCTCACGATACTTCGGACCTTTGGATAACACATTTCGCAGGGAAGTGTTATTGACAATGTTGTTACCGTGGATAACTTACTAATAAGCAAAAATTCCGACATTGACATATTGTTTTCTAAATAAAGTAGTATACCAATGTTCAAAAGTCATAAATCGATTGAGAGAAAATAAATCCGGGTTACAGACCAATAGTTTTATGAAAATTTACTTGATAATTATAATTTTTTCAAAGAAAGTTTGTATAAAGTTTGTAGAAATATGATAAAACATACCAAGAATTAACATAGTTTAGAAACGATTCCACGGGAAGATTTAACAAGTGTAAGTCAATAAAACATTGTCACCAATGGTCAACGGAAGAACTTTAAAATGTCGTAATCATTGATAATAGTAAACATACTCTGCCATTGATTAACCATATAATTTGTTATCATTGGCTTCTTGATAAAATATTGTAATAATGAATACATACAGTTCGTATAGCGCTGGTAGGTTTTGAAATGTTCCTTGTTGTATTGTAGTTATTTGATTGCTGTACAAATGCCTGAAACAAAATAATAGAAATGTTCAATATATTTTACACTTAAGATATTATTTGCTATCATTGATAGATTTAAAACGACAACAGTAGTATACCGCTGTTCAAAAGTCATAAATCTATTATGACAAAACAAATCCGGGTTACAAACTAAAACCTAGGGAAACACATCAACTAAAAGACGAAAACAAGATAAAGATTTATAAAATTTTAGATGATATCATATCCAGATATTGGTTGTGACCCTGATGCCGGTCAATAAAGAAGATTTATGTAGGCTTGTATATATAATATATACACATATTTATATATAAGCGTTTTTTATCATTGACAAGTTAGCTAAATATTTGTTTTTAGTTGAATTGGATTTAAAAATGTTTAAAGGGAAACTCCGCAAAAAAATGAAAAATTGATATTTTGTTCTTTAAACATAAAAAACCACATGTTCATAAATAAAAAACTTTTATTCTCTATGTAAAGAGATCAAAATCGATTTTTGAAATTCACTATCAGTTCTCGACATATCGCCATCTTGTCGGCATGTTCGATCTAAAAAGTCACGTGATATCTATAAACCACAAAGAACTAAAAGAATCGGGAATTTACCGACCGTGCGTTAAAAACTCCCATCATCAATTGGGGATTACCGTAGACGGCTATTCAGTGTCAATATGTCTTGCCAAGCGTACGGTTGTTCTGTCAGACAAGGTTATGACAAAAGTCTACATAGTTTTCCCAATCCCACAAAAAAAGAAAGAATTGTATCGGACATGGTTGTACAACCTGAAACTAACAGCAAATAGTTGCATCTATAGCAAGCACAAGTTGGTGTGTGAAGACTATTTTGAACAATATTGTGACGTGGGAGATTCGATGGTTATTATCCTTTTTTAATAACAAAATAACCTAGCAGTTCTGATAGCTATAAAAAAAAATATAGATTTGATGAGGAAGAACAGCTTCAATTGTAAGAAAGACAAATGCAGTGTTCTTGTAACAATCACTGATTTACAGAAGATTCATTAGTATGCCTCTTTTATATAAAGTGCATTGATTTATATAAAGAATAATTCCGTATTTAGACAAGAGAATTTTTCAATCAATAAAGTTATATATACGATATAAACTAACATTTTTTTAATTATGATATTTAACGGCTATTGACAAGGAGCAATGTTAGGAAGAGGTTTTAGCTGGGACATAATATGTTGATATAGTATAATATTCCCAGGTTATAGATATGTAAATATCGAAATATCGGACATCTCAATTTTTTTTATTAAAAGTGTTTTTTTTTTAACTAATCTTTAAATTATATCAAATTGATACGGAATCAATTCGGAACGATCACTTATAAAGACACTAAGCTTTACAGTTAAATGTGTGACTCTATCTGGTATGTTTGGTGAAAAATTTATAGTTTTTTTTTCTTTTTAAATTTTATTTACGTTATCTTATATATATATTTTGGCTTCCTCCCGAATTGATAATAAGTATATCAGAATTATTGATAGATGTCGTGTCAGAGCGACACATTCAGTTAGGTATTCCAAGGACGTATATTAGATACACGTCCCTGGGTATTCCAGTGACATCCTGTCAACTAAAAATTCGTATTACACAATTATATAATACAGGTTCATGCATGGCCTCTTTATTGAGGTACCCTGTGTGCACAGGTAACATTTATTGAACCATATATTTGTGTCTAACGTTGTTTATCTTGTGTGTGTTTGAAATTATAATTCCACCTTTTAATGAATGATGTTCTGATAATAATATTATCCACTATTTTTGCTGATAATAAGTTTAAAAAAATTATAAAGATGACCTTTGAACATTTTGGTAAAATGAATATTGTTTTGTCATGATTCTGGAAAATTCTTCACGCAAATACAAGCTTTTGTCGATTGGCAAACATGCAAATATATAAAGTAATGCAGCAGTTATAGTCACTTCAATATTAATTCATTGAAGATAAGAGAGCCCCTTCTATGTCTAATTAATATCCCTATCTTTATAAGGATTAGGACGACAGGGGAAAAGGGAGCGGAGTTAGAGTGGCATAGTGAAAAAAAAATAACCGAATAGAAAACAATATAGAGAATGATCGACGAAAAGCGAAATAGTTATTGTAAAGGAGCGGAGATAAAGAGAGGCATAATGGAAAAAATGTTTGCTTGACAAAGTTATTGCTCGCTTTGATATTTTTAGTTATACAAAATCACACATCGTGTTTTTAATTGGTATTCACGTGCACTAATTTGATGCTGGGAACAGTATATTAATATATATGTTCCTGCTTGATGTGTTAAGTTTCTGCATAGCATGGTTAAAAATAATTAGTATCCCATTTGTTATATCCTAGTGTCACGGTGTTACTGCGTTAAATTTATTTAGTTTGTTAATGATTGTGTAAATAAGAACAAATCTGTATAAAAACTTCATACCATTTTAGTGATTGCCTATAGGCGTTTGATTATTGTTACATTTAAGATATATATATATACATTTAGAACCTTTCATACATCTTAAAGTAAAAGGTGTGTTTCAAAGTTAAACGACACAAGAACCCTGTAATACTAGTACGAGAGTATAGCATGTAAAAATTCCTGCTCAATATGGTTGTATTGGAAATCTTTTCATACAGATTGACAACTCATGCCGGTCCGACATGCATGTAATATTTTCCACATGACGCTCATAGTTCTTTCTACCATCATCATCTTATTCATTAAATATTGCTGTAAACATCGATGGTCCACACCCAAACAAAATGGGAGTAATATACCTTCAAATCTTCTCCGTGGTATACACTTGTGAAATATATAGACGAAATTCGGTATTGAAGTGAATTTACATCTCACAAACACAATTTTTGAATTACGATTTTGAGTGAACACCCACCAAACCAATACAAACGTATGGCAAGATAACTTATCTTGCCATACGTTTGTATTGGTTTGCAAGCATTTAGTTTTCGTCAGACACAAGATAAATAATGACTCTCATAAACGTGTATATGCATGCAGTTTCAAATATCAAGAACAAGCGGTCGATGTCTATAGATCATTGTTAAGTCCGTTTACTAACTGTTCAGAGTCAGACATGTCAATAGTTCTTTCTTGGAACCTTCATATACCCCATCCGACGATGGGAACTCTTTCTGATATCATAGTGTTGACAACATAAGCTTGTTTATCTGTACAAGTGGTTGCATGGCCTCTCCTGCCCCAACAAACAATTACGCTACTAGTCTGCTATCTCTGGAGCTCATCTTAACTTCAACTGGTGTATTGGAAATAAGAATATTCCATTATCTGACAACTATACACATTTAGGTATAGAACTTAGTTCTCGATTCAAAACTAAGAACAGAACTATAAATGCGTGTAGAAAAGGTAAAAACGCATACTTTGCATTGAAGGGAGTAATGTCAAGAGCAACTAATCCGTCTGTATTAGTTAAATTATACAAAACTGTAGTCTTACCGAGCGTTCTTTATGGCTGCGAAACATGGAGTAACCTCAAATCCTGTGATATAACGATGCTAAATTGTTTTCAACACTTCATTGTCAAACACGTTTTAGAATTAAAAACTTCTACCAGATCTGATATGTGCGAGAGCATTATTGGGATTCATCCGATTATGAGTTTTATTCACAAAAGAAAACTGTTCTTTTTTCAAAAACTGTGTATGTTAGATAACAATTATCTTTCAAAAAGAATATTTTTGGTTCGACTAATTTCATTCCTCATAGACCCTCACCGCCGTCACTATGGATACATTCCTGATGTTATTGACATTTTAAAAACATATGGACTTCTTCAATATCTTACCGAATATACTGATACTGTGAGTTTTCCATCAAAAAGTCAATGGAAATCGATTGTTCACAAAACAGTTAACGAACAGCAGTCAGTCAACTGGTTAAACCGTATTGCGTTAGATGACAATTTTATACGTTTTAAAAATATTCACAAGACAGTTTCTATGACCAACTTCTGGAAAAAAGCACAATCGTTTCCAGAAATACGAAATTCCTATTTCATTACAAAACTGTTAACTGATATACCAAATTCATCAGGAAATAAGTGCGTCGCATGCAAAAACTACTTTGATGATGTCTTTGTACATGCATGTTGTTCCTGCATTTGTACTACAGAGCTGCGTGAATTGTGGTGGAATATGATTATTGAGAATTTTTCACTACAACTGTAAATTGCGAACTAAGTGAATATGATGATGAGGATGTTTATCAAATTTTACTAGGACGAATTCCGTTAAATGTCATTGCCGAACATTCGGAGTTTGAGAAGCTTTGCCACGCCCATGTTGTTCAATGCGTAGCAACATATGGACGTTGTGTCAGGTTAGGCAATACATGATATGTCATCATTCAAGATTGCATAAGAACTTTATGCCGAATGACTAAAGTGTATATTTGTCTGTTTATGTAAAAAAAAAAAAACTTTTTTGTTCTGTTCCTATTTCGTTTATTCTTTTTGTTGTGTGATATTTAGTTAATTTTGTGTATTCATTATATCTCAATTATGAGGAAATAAAGACATGAATGAATGAATGAATTAAAAACTTTAAAATTGCAATAGTTTTACGATTGTTAGCATTTAAACATCGCCAGATTTAAATACAAGTTAAAGAATTCCGGTAAAGTAAATTAAACAGATGTGCAATGATTATTAATTGGGAAATGTAACATTTAATTTATAAGAATAAAAGTACTATTCTTTTAACTTCATATCTTAACTTTATGCTAATTGCATAGAACGTAACCGAAAATTGTTCCATTTTAATATTGCAACACTTCCGGAATTAAAAAGTTGAATGTTAATTTTCAATTAATTTATACAATTTAATTATTGTTTCTCTATTGTCATCGGGTATTTCATCTGGGTATATTAAACACGCTATACTCTTTCTGTTAATCCATTCAAAATGACAATATTCACACCTGTGTACGCTTGAATTCACACCTGTGTACGCCTGAGGCTAAATTGCTGCAAGGTAAAGTTCAAACGGATTCTCCTCAAATCGAGAAATAAACAATTATATACACACTCTGTTCACAAATATTTTGCATTGAAATGGTTATCAAAGTTATAACGGTAAATAAAACTTATTATATTTTCAGTTCAATATCAGTAAAAATGTTCTATAGATATTTTATGAAAAAATCTCAATAATTTTTGAAATTAATTCGAAAATATTTATATTTAAAGATAACTTCATATAGGAAGTTTTATTCAATCAATACAAAACGGTACACACATATTCATTTTCTTTCATTCTTATATTGTGGTTATTAACTACGACCAACGGTCATATGTGCGCTTTTAATTACGTAAAATTCTGATATGCAATTAAGACTTTAACAGATATTATTTTTTCCCATGATTCAACAATTCGGGTTAAAACGTCACAACCCAGTGACGTAGGTCAACCAAAAAAGTTACAAATACTGGATTTTCTCCGTTATTAGAAAGAATATAAATTTAAAACTATGTGAATGTGTTTTTTATGTTAAGATGAACATATTTAGATGATAAGTAAAAAATCGCGGAGTTTCCCTTTAAATATACACTTCATATTAGACTCGGCAATCCCTGAGGTTTCTATTACAGTGTTATATGTCGTTTGAGTTATAACAACCTTTACAAAAATAAATTAAAACTGAAACCACATACAGGTGCAGTATATGACAACAGCAGCCATTCAGTTGTCACTAGCTAATTCACTCACTTATGAATGCATGAATCTTGACATCGTGCTTTCCATAAACATCAAAAGTATACTGTTTAGAATTATGAATAAAACACATATCCGGTTTCTGTCACTATCAATTCATTCATTCAATCACCTTTAAGTTACCGTGGATAACTTACTAATAAAGCAAACATTCCGAAATTAATTTACCAGATACATAATTTTACGTTGGAAATATGAATTGTAATTAAAATATCTGATGTTTTAATATTTTATATAGTGAATATTCATTCCACTCAAACTCAAAGCAAGCGTATGGATTCTTGGTTCCTGTTCAATGTGTGGTTGCAAAATGAATAATGGAAAAGATGTCAAATGCTGCTTGCTTATTTAATGTTAATATTCAGTCTGCCAGTCTGCGACATTTTTTTGATAGTAAGTAGAAATGTTTTTTCACTATATCTGAGGTAAACAAGGAACATAAAACAACAAACACCTTTAGTTGCACGTATGGCTCATGTAGCACACCATACTCATGCGTTTAAATGGATGAATGTAAGCATGTGTACCATTCCGTAAGATATCTTTCAAGACTAGAACGTCATAATTGCTATTTATATAATCCTTGTATGTGATACTAGATCTACACAGCAAGTCATGTTGTGACGTCCTGGTTCAGACTAACACTACATAAGAGACGTATTTCAGCAAATTTATAATACAACAGTCTTAATTGTAACAATCAGTGATCGATTTCCAAACAACGTACACCACTTGTAAAGTCGGCAGGTTTAACCCGTCGGGTTACATTACACGGTGTCATGCAATGGCGACAATTATGAGGATATACTATTACTATTTTTGACATTTTTACCTATTATGTCTGTTTGTTTTGTTCACATATCGTTGTCAAAATAATGGAATTTTATGCGACTTTCATACAAGTGAGAGGTTTAGCTAGCTATAAAACCAGGTTTAATCCACTATTTTCTACATAAGAAAATGCCTGTATCAATTCAGGAATATGAAATTTGTTATCCTTTCGTTTGATTTGTTTGAGCTTTTGATTTTGCCATTTGATTAGGGACTTTCCGTTTTGAATTTTCCTCATAGTTCGGTTTTTTTGTTATTTTACTTTCTACAAATTCGGTTTTATTTTTCGGTCCGGTTTAATATTGACCAATCCTTAACATATGAATTGGACGACAAGATTCTTGCATCAGCTGATATGAGTTGAAAATCGTTTACAGAGTACATTGACAATAGTCGACAGGGAAGTATCATTTATTTTATACGAGCCAATGAAATGCTGAAGAAAAATAGTATGGTCAGTTGATATGGTGTTTATCCATGTTATCAGAGGATAAGAAAATATAAAAAAAAACAGACGTTACTGTACATTTAACTGTATATCTCAATGTCAATGAGATATATAGATCAAATAACTTATTATCTTTCTTATGGGAACCACATGTGGTTGGGATGTGTAAATACCCTGTCACGTCCGGTCTGTGTTTTTGTTAGATGTTTTCGATGTTTTGAGTTAAACCCTTTTTAACTGATTTTTTTATAGTTTGTTCTCATGTTATACTGTTACACCATTGTCCAAGGTTAGGAGGAGGGTTTGGCGCCAGCAAACTACTTTAACACCGCCACATCCTGTATGCGTCATTCCCAAGTCAAGGACCTGCAATTCAGTGGTTGTGGTTTGTTGCTGTATATTATATTTGCTTTTCGTTCATTGTATTGTATAAAAATCAGGCCGTTAGTATTCATTTATGAATCGTTTTACAATTGTCATTTTTTAGTCTTTTATAGTTAACTATCTGGTATGGGTTTTGCTCACTGTTGATTGCCATAGTTGTTTACTTCTATGTCATTTTGTCCTTAGTTCTGAAAATAATTTAGCGTAAACATAATTTTACGTTGGAAATATGAATTGTTATTAAAATATCTATTGTTTTGATTTCTTTATATATTACATATTTCTTATCCCAGTTGATACGATATTCCAAGGCTTGTTTGTTTTCTATCATTTCCTTGATAGAGGGTTGCTGCTAACATAGAAGCCGCCATCACGAGTTGGTTTAACCCTTTGTAGTTGCTGTCTCATTTTCAGCAAATAATTAAAACTAAAATCAGAGTAATCGTATTCAACTTCATTAGGTATACCATCGGAGCCAAACAAACATTTGTAGTCCAGAAAACCAATTAAATAAAGAATGTTGTAAACTGTAATCTTAACATCTTTGAAATTATACCACTGTCGTATTTTGCTATTAGCAATCTACAATTAATTTTGTATGACCACGAGGTCGATTTTGACTACCTAATTGAAAATGGGCTTATCAAATTGTTTCGTAATATTCAATATAGAAAAATCTTTAACAGTATGAATTTAGACGCCAATGAAATATGGAAATAGAAACTGTGAGAATATCAAAACTTTGGTTGCAACTGTTTTTGGTCTTATTTCTATGTTGAAAATGTTTGTTTATGCTCCTGTCCATTACCTAGTCAGACTTTTTTCCGCCCTCAACTATGATAATCAAAACAAATATCAAATACATACACGGAAAACAATGAGAAATATTAGTTTACTTACTTTGGTTTTTAACAATTCACTTGATAAGTCCATCTTATTTCTTTTAGCCAGGCAGCATAATAGCGACCCAAAGAATGCTAGGAATTAGTTAAAGTGATCTTAAAGTATAGAATCCACTGATACAGAAACCTTTCCGTCCCTTGTGTTTACATCGGGCATTATATTCTTGAGTGCATTTTATACAGTAACGTAAAAATAGTATCAGAAGAGACGGTCCAGTACAACCCAGTAAAATAATTTAAATTATGAAATGCGCAAAAATATAAAGGAAAACTATTCATATCGTATTTGTAACTGTAAATCATAGAGCACATTATCAACGATATATTTAAATTGATCAAAAGTATGTTACCCAATGATAAGTCTAATTCGGTAGGTCATATAAACTATCTTCATCGCAAATTGAGTTGTTGAAGGTTGCAATTCTGTAAATACAGACAATGCAATTTCCCATAGGAACTCCCTTTGCGGCTAAAACTGTGACACTTTTACTATGAAGTTTCGTGAAAAATAATATCCCAGAACGGAAAGTTTATATGCACTACTATTTTATTCAAAGGTCAAAATATAGGGCTGTGCGGCATATTTTCAACATTTATATGCCCTGAACTTCTAAGAGTTTAAACTTATACTAAAATTCTATACTACCCTTACCTCCATTTTTGGACCTCCTAAGAATTAAAATTTAGCCGCTACCATGTTTTTCTATACTGGTTACATTCCCAAGTGATGTCTCTATGAGATGAAACACAGAGATCATCAATGGGAACCAGTACGTTAACAAATTAACATACCTATGAATATTAAATATCTCCCCAAAAGAGGCGTGGTTTGAGAAACAGCTGTATTTACAAAGTGCAACCTATAAGCAATATCAATTAATCATTTAAAAGAGAAAAACACACAAGTTTCATTATATAAAAAAAAGAAATTTAGGATACTAGTATACGTTTCACATACGAGTACGATGATGCACGTTGTCCCTCTTCCGAGAGTCAATAGGGTCATGCAGTCAGGAATAAGACTTCTTTTGGATGTATATATTAGATATTTTCATTACGTTCGTCAAATATCAAGAATTCTCTAAATTTTGAAATCATTGATAATATTTGTACTTACAGATATTGTAAGTTAGTGAGATTTTCAAACGTGTCTTCCCTGACAAATGTCAGTTTGTTTCCATTCAAAGTTCTGAAAAAAAAGTACACATTAAGTATCATGACTGTAATATCCATGTATGCGTTAAGCCTTTTCAATTGATATTTTATAGTGTGTCTTTTTATGTTGTAATGTTACACTTCTGTCTAAGGTTATGGTGAAGGTTGGCGTCTGTCTATAAAAACCTTTATATCCACTGCATTTTTATGCACCTGTCCTAAGTCTGGAGTCTGTTATTCTTGTTTTTCCTTTTTGAATTGTTTTACACTAGTCAATTTGAGACCCTTTATAGCTTGCTGTTCGGTGTGAGCCAAGGATCTGTGTTGAATCCCGTACTTTGACCTATAATTGTTAACTTCTTATACATTGTGACTTTGATGGAGAGTTGTTTCATTGGTACTCATACCACCTCTTCATATTCATAGTAACATTATACATCAAACCGTCATACATATAAATAGTATAAATAGATTTCAGATGTTGTTTATTATGGCCAAATGGTGAATTGTACAAAAATTTCAGTTTTATTTCACTGATACATCCGTTATTTATTTGTGCTTAAATGACTTTGATTCAAGAAATAACATATACAGTACGACCCTTGTCATTCCTTGATGAATGTCGACCGTAAAATCTATGGTGACCATGATGGTCCTATATGTCAAACAAATATTCACCTTCTGTTTGATTATTGAACAAGGTAATTATCGGATTAAATTTCACCAGTCAAGCGTACAGATACGTGCCAATTATACCAGATGATAAATTTAAATACATGTAGTAATATGTGAGATGTAATAGTTGAGGCAGATCAGGTAAATATTAATTACATTTATGTTCAAGGTGTCACAGTTGATGTGTTTTGACAGAATTGTATATAAGCTGTTATCATAATAGTCAATTTCTAAATCAGCACATCAATTTGAATTAATATATTTTCATGTCTGTCTTGCCAATACGAATGTGTTTACTTATTATTCAAACGTTTTGTGTTCTCGAATTATATAGTCGATATGAAAATATATAAAAAATAAATAATTGCAGTCATAAATAAAAATATTATTTACAAAAATTGAGTTTTGAGATGACAGAAAATTTCGTAAAGATGCGCTAATTAATAGATTTGAGGACAGTTTACTTGAATATAAAAAACACGAATGAATAAGATAAATTTCATGTTCTTTTCGGTAATATGAACAACAAAAAAATTTCGTTTTTCGTTTTAGATCATGAAGAGCTCATTAATAATGCAGGAATGTGTTTGAACGTTCATGAGCGATGACCTAGACATTCATGAATAGAGCCAGCATATGAAAAACTAAACTTTTATTTTCATAAAACAATTCAGTTATTTTCTTATACATGTTTTAGTTTCTCTAACTGATGTAAATAATTCAGTTTTCATATTTCTCTTAAATAATTTGATCTTTTACATCTTATTTGTCTGGTCAATATTTTATCTGGAGATTATTTGCTTTCGCATGTAAATCAGATAGTGTGTTGTTGAGGTACGGAAGGGGCAATTGTTATTTTTTAAATAGTTGATGTTTCTCATACATATTAATGTTAACGACTAAACCCCTTTGACAAATGATTGCATTACCTACCGTTTATCAAAAATACGTTTTGTTTGAAATAAATGTTCATGCTTGTTCTTGTACTTCTTTTAACAAAATCATCGAGTATTGAAAAAAAAATCAGTATACTAATCATGTTTTATTTATTGCTATTATTCATAACCTAAACCGAAGTTTGATTTAGTGTATATTTATGGAAACAAAATAAACCAGTTTAATAAAAAAAAATTAAATGTTTATTTTAGGCTATTGTCTCTCAAATGATTAATTTTCGGGAGTTTTATTTTGGATTTGTATTTTGTCTCTATTATTATCTATTACGTAAATGACATTATATAATGTTCATGCCTCCTAGCAAGTGACAGCTTTTATTATGGCTTCAATTTCATTTTATAACAAAAAACTTAAAACGTCGCTGATTCAATCTCAATTGCCGAGTTACAAAACTACTGACTGATTGATCAAATTATGCACCTGTTAACCAGTGGATCAATTCATTAGGGACAATTAAAAAAAATAACTACATTAAGCTTAAAAGATAGTTGTTCTCTTAGGAGGTATATCACTACTTTGCTGTTATGTAGCTAGATGGTGCATTCATGTGTAAAGATGTTGTCTGCGAAAACGTCATTGTCTATTATTAACAGAAAGTGAGGCGTTTCACTTTATTTGCATTGTGACTCATCTGACAAAAACGTTGTGAACTGGCTGTGTACTCGGTTTCGTAAATTGTTCTCTGTACAGTTGTTTTTGACAAAATCGACCCTTTACTAACAGGTTCACGCCGAACATCAGTTGCAGACATCGAACGTAGGTCGGCTAATGCTGATCTAACTGTTGAAATGCCACCGTCAGTAACATTTTGGAACTTAATGGAATTGTTGTTCGGTTTGGCTAAAAGATCCCCTGACTTCAATATAAAATGGCGAACTGTTCTCCAGTTTACATGTTGATTTGACAAATAGCGGACTATGGCGCTAATATTCCAATTTGGCGATACAGATACGCTATTTCTAGTCTGCAATTGACTCAATTTAAACTTCGACATATTGTGATAGAAATTAAAGCTACTCGAGAGAAGTTTTTTCAAACTATTACTGTACTTTTTCGTCTCCTTATTTGATATCTCTTGAAAAAAGTAAAATAACAAAAATACCGAACTCCAAGATAAATTCAAAACGGAAAGTTCTTTATCAAATTGCAAAATCAAAAGCCCAAACACATCAAACGAATAGAAAACAACTATCATATTCCTGACTTGGTACAGGCATTTCCCTATGTATAAAATGATGGATTAAACCTGGTTTTATAGCTAGCTACACCACTCACTTGTATGACGGTGGTATGAAGTTCGATTCTATTGACAACATATGTGAACAAAATAAACATACATAACAGGTAAAAATGTCAAAAATTAGTATACAGCAGTGAACAGGTAGCAATAAATGTGACACCTAGAATACTGTCAATTCAGAAATTAATGGGAGGATTTTATGAATTCAAATAAAACAACTGGTTGAGTATCGCAATAATATAAAGTCGCATTCTGATAACTGAAACATTAATCTGTATTTAGATTTTTTCGAAATCGTCATGATTAAACTAGCATTAATTACTCGCAATAATTTCTGAATTTACAATAAACATGAACGCAAAACGATGTTTCCCATTGGTTTTTGGCGTCAGTATGTGAAACATTGTTTTGAGTTCATGCTTTTTTTTAAAGATGATGTAAATCATGATTCAAATGACATATCTGGAGCTGTCAAATAAATACATACACGCTTCAATATACTAGTACTCGAACTAACAATTTATAAGGTGTAAAAACAAAGTTTGTCAATCATCCCAGACGAGTTTTTAACATTTCACAATATTCTTATATCAAATGTCTTAGGTTCTACAGTATCAAGTGCATGTATTTTTGTTTTACATATATCTAAACATTTTTGTTTTAATTTTGCCAATTATGCTCAATTCTTTAACACTTAACTCCCATTTTATCCTTATATAAAAAATTGACCTGCAACATGATGAAAAAATGCTTAACGGTAATACATTTTTCATATACATCAAAGAGTCATTAAAAACATCCTGTGTTTAGATAAGCATCAATTATCTTTTTTCCATTAGCTTTGCATTTTCATAAAACTGTTTTTATAACAATCGACCTCAACTTGCTGATTTCACAATGTTCTGGGAATCTATTTGGGGTGGGTGGGGTTTCTTCAATTCAATATTCTTTACATTTTTAAACTATTTTATGGCTACATCTTTATATATTTTGACAATTAATCACTATTCTTTAGATTTTAGCACCCCATACATCTCTATAATATTTTAATGGCTTTTTTTCTCTATTTTTCATTTGTTTTGCATTTGTTTCTTTAGTATTGGCGCATTAGTATCTATTCTGTAAACTCCATGCAGACCCTTATATTTTGCTTATAACTCACTGAGGGTCTGTAAGGTATATTTAATTCTGTATCTTAAAACAATATTGTCTTAACATTACGAATTAGAGATTGTTATCGTCAAGTTCGTTTCTGCATAAAGATAAATTTAAATGCATATCTAAAAGAAATCGCAACCCACGTCTCTCTTTATCAAGAAAAAAATTACAACCAGAAATACATGATTAATTAATAGTTTAATTAAAGATTTTTTTCAAAAGAGTGGCGAAAAATACCAAGAGGACATTTATATCATAAGACGAAAGAAAAAAAAAAAACTGACAACGCCATGGTGAAAAAAAATAAAACGAGAAACAGAAAAACAACAGAACACAAAACACAACATAGAAAACTAAATACTGAGCAACACGAACTCCACTTAAAACTGGGGGTGATCTCAGGTGCTCCGGAAGGGTAAGCAGATCTTGCTCCACATGTGGCACCCATCGTGTTGCTCATGTTAGTACAAGCCCGGTGATAAGTTTAATTCGATAGGTCACATTCAGGGGGAAATGGACAGTATTGCAGTTACGACAATTGGAACATATTCGTTGTCATTTGTGAAACGGATATTCCATAACGGTCAACCAACTCGTAATGGCGTCTGTAAAATTTACGACGGAATGATTTCAACTGCACTATTTGGACTTTTTGGTTTAGTAGTTTTCTTGTGAGCAGCAACTATCTATCAAGGAAATCATGATCAAATACAAGCCCAGGAATATCGTATCAACAGGGAGATATACACTCCTATGCAGGCGTTGCTGGAATGTTGATACATAGAAATGGAGAGTTCAAAATTAGGTAGCTGATTACTGTCATCAACGTGCCTTTCTATAACATCTTTTTGATGCTAAGTTATCGAATTCAGACACATATGTTAATCACTCAAATAAAATTATTGCCATTACATAAGTCAAGCAAAACTATGTAGAATCTTCTAAATGATGTTGTGTTAACTCATAAGTAATTTGCGTGCTATTTCACGGATCAATTATCAAGC